AGCTTTGCTGCGCTCGAAGCTTCCGCCCACATGTCACCAGCAAATGATATCCTCGGGAATTCTAGGGAAGTCGGAATGGTACTGAATTCCGTAACGAGTATTTTCTTACGTTATTACTGAGCGAACGCCTAGCTATCATTGTCCTTATATACTGTGTTGTATATGTCTTGCATCACCTGGTGCTCTCACTTGGTGAGGGAAGAAGACCACTCGTGATCTCATCCCACCCGGAATCACATTTCCCTAATCGTCTCTTCTCAGTGATGGCGCAGACGTGATTTTATGGTTGTTGGTCGACGTGAATTAGCCTTCGAGGTCGGCAACATGATGTGGCCTTTTCCCGGAGGGTGACCTCTTTCCTGAGCAATTAATCCAGGCGGGGCAACTATGCCATCCCAGGATATGCCTTCATACCGGAGTTAATCCATTAACAGACGTAAAATGCGTCTCAGTGGAGCCCCACAATTACGGGGAGTGCGAAGCACTCCTCTGACACAACTATCCTGTCCCCCTGGTCTGTGTAACGCTATGAACAAGCCTGAGTACGTCACGATTGAGTACATCAAGCTAGAATCTAAGATGTGAAGTCTTTCTGTCTTTGTCTACTACACTTTATTAATGTATTGGCGTAGGCACGGTTTGTTTCCACCATTTTTTTTCAACCTTCCTACGGGGGAGGCTGGTAGCGGCTAGCCCAAAGAGGCGTTGTAGTCGAGCTACCAAAGCCACCAGCTCGTTGCCTTCAGATGCTAATGCACTGCCAGGCGCGGTCTCACCCAACTCCCTCGTAGAAGGACACCACTCAACTGAGTGACTGAAAACTCTGCCCTGCTCTAAACTAAGTAGCTGTTGTGTTCACTATGCCAGGCGAAACGGTGCGAGAATTTTACAAGCCATTTTGTAAGCGGGGCAGCTATGCCATCCCAAGATATGCCTTCATACAATCAATTTTGTAAGCGGGGCAACTATGCCATCCCAAGATATGCTATCATACAATCAATTTTGTAAGCGGGGCAACTATGCCATCCCAAGACATGCTATCATACAATCAATTCATCGAAGCGGGGCAACTATGCCATCCCAAGATATGCCTTCATACAATCAAGCGGGGCAACTATGCCATCCCAAGACATGCTATCATACAATCAATTCATCGAAGCGGGGCAACTATGCCATCCCAAGATATGCCTTCATACAATCAATTCATCGAAGCGGGGCGACTATGCCATCCCAAGATATGCCTTAATACAATCAATTAATCCAGGCGGGGCAACTATGCCATCCCAAGATATGCCTTCATACAATCAATTCATCGAAGCGGGGCGACTATGCCATCCCAAGATATGCCTTAATACAATCAATTTTGTAAGCGGGGCAACTATGCCATCCCAAGATATGCTATCATACAATCAATTTTGTAAGCGAGGCAACTATGCCATCCCAAGATATGCTATCATACAATCAATTCATCGAAGCGGGGCAGCTATGCCATCCCAACGAACAAACTAGCCTACTAGCTCAAAAGACCTCATACATGTTGGCTCCATTATGTTGACATCACAGAATCACTTCGTGTTATTGATCCACGGATATACCTCCAACTTGAAATATTCCCATGTTATAGACACAGCACTATATGACTCTATTATTTTTCTCAAGCACTCTTACATAGGAGTGACCGGACAATTTACGATATGCTCACGATGTCAAAATCAGCCACAATGTAACAGGTTTACAATTCGTTCTCTTTCTAGTGAACAAATCGAGTTAGCACAGACAGGGTACTCCAAAACTCAATTTCTGCATAAATCCACATCACTTAACAATCAAAGACACATCATGTAGAATGAACACAGCGCAAGGATGTGAACTTCCTGTATGAATAGAATAACGACGAACACTGCGGCAACTTTACTCCGTTACCAACGACTAGTACTTTGGATCATCTGCATTGGGAATTGGAATGCCTCCATAGG